TCGTGTCTGCTTATTGATGAAAAACATTGAATTATCAATTAATGCCGAGGTTAACAGAAAGTCGGTCATGGGAATTACCATATAAATTGTCTACAAAAGGAAGCAAAGGGAGAAACTAATCTTCGTAGAAAATCGTTGTACACTAATATCAAAATCGCTAGAACAACAGTAATTCGTTCAATATATGTATGTATATACATGTATAACAAAATAGACAACAAAACAAGAAAGGAACACTAGTGCAAACACAAAATCAACAACAAGGAAATCCTCTCAAATGAAATCTACGGCTTCGAAAGATTGCATCACCACAAAGAGTTCTCAAAAATGTCGACGATTAGTGACGCCACAGCTTGAGTACTTTATCTTTCCCACCACTAACAACTTTTGTGCCTTCAGGACTCCAGTCAACCGTGTATACTTCATCCCCATGGCCAGGCAAATCAAAATGAAGTCGTCTGCTACGAATTTCCCATACCTAAAGACAAATGCTCAGGTCCTGAAAGAACTTTTTGATAGTCTTAAATGATGGGGAACTTCGCCATACGCTCATATTTAACAGCATGAATAACATCCCAACATAGATCTACGAAGTTGTAAGATCCTATTATGGTGAAACTTTACTTTGAAAACCAATGCACTACATACAAGAATCAGTGTATCTTTAAAATGTCGTCTACGCAAGAAATAAACCTTCAGAGTAGAATCCGCCGAGCCGGAAACTAACAACCGACTATCGGCTGACCACGAGATTTGGTAGACAGCGTTCACGTGACCCCTAAATTTTGTTTTACATTAAAAACTGCTAAAAATAAATCGAGTAACTAATATACAAACCTTAACGAAGCAATAAATTTCCCTGTCCTACCGCACCACAATTTTATAGATTTATCAAACGATGCCGACGCTATGTAGCGTGTATCTGGTGAGAACATAACCTATAATTTTACGCAAACAATTCACTCAATGAACTAATGAAGATAGGAAGAAACTGACTTGATTCACAAGTTGCTGGTGACCAGTTAACCTGGCTATCGCACTTTTTGACATTGATGGATTCCATAAGAACATTGTGAAGTCATCTGATCCACTTACTAATCGCTCACCACCACAGACCTTCAGCACATCATCATATCTCCGTTGTGCAATTTTTTGACACTTAAAATACTTCCGATTTTATCTGAAGAGCTGGAAAACATTTCTCTATCCAGATATTTCTTCCAAAACTCCAAATACATGCCATGCAAAAAAAGACGTATAACAAAGTTCATATAGCAATGAAAAGTTGCTGTAGAGCTTTAACAAATGCAACTATTTTTAAATGTACATTATGTTAAACGTCCCAATGGTTTACCGCCTCATCGTCGCTAGGAGGTGTTGTCGAGTTACGATAAACAACAAGCGGATCCATCTCCAGTAAGGTCTCCCAAGCTGAAGAGTTTGGTGCTTCCATCAGGAAACCCAGCTAAGAGTAAACCAATGCCAGCACCCACCACCTTCTTGGTAACAAACTAGTGGCGTGGCAAATTCCCCTCTGATCCACAAAGGTGTCAACTTCCTGTGCTGGTGACAAGCTGGGCCAGACTTTGGCTAGGCCAACCTCGGGACTCCAGGAAACCACAATGGCTAAACTAGCAAGACTCCGAATTTGTGGAAATTGTGCTGTTGCCCGCACAACCAGTGAAGACGGACCATTCAAGTATCCAAGTAAGTAAGCATGATGCTAAAACGTTTAACGTAAATTAATAAAGTTTAGCACAATGTAGACGTCTACGTACAAGGAAATTTCCAAGAAGGAAATAGTGTGTGAACATATATGCATTTTAGACCCCTAAACTGCTCGACTTCTTATCACAAGCTTCTTTATTTCAGACGACTGAAAGCCACTTGCTATCACTGTCATTCAGAAAACAGTTAACTTCAAAACTTCATTTGAACAGTTCTAAACCAACTTAAAGAAAAGTACTTTCAAAATCTGAGGTATGGTTGTTTGATTTCATTCCTAAATCTTTCGGCAGCTGCATGTACCACTGGATACCTTTTTTGGGATTCTCTCTGATGTAGGCTTCGCTCCTGGTACTTTCCAACGTGATCGACTTACAAAAGATGACTCACTCTTTCTGTTGAAGATCACGAATTGCATCCTCGAACCAATGTGCATGTCCTTAAAATTCTGGGTTCCTAGGAATGTCAAGCTAGGAAGACCGGTAGTCACTGACTGTTTGGGCAGAAACTTTCACTAAAATCTTCGAAGAAAAACATGGTACTCTACTGGTCCAGAGCGAACATAATGAGCTACTCTTGAACGAAAAAAGGATAAATGGGTATTGCACTAGTGCGGCTTCGAGTCATTCGTTGATCAAAGGGAAGATAGGTGATCTCAGATGTGAAGAAACGAGGAGGCTCACTGTCGTCTTGCCACGCGGCAATTTCAGCTTTTCCACATGACAAAGAGTATGCAAACAATAGAGAGCATAGTAATTGTAGAAGGCTTACCGGGGAGGACAAAACGATTCCTCTAACGCATTGATGATGAGAGACGATAACTACATAATAGGGTAGACAAGCAACAGAGAGGTAAGAATGAAAGCACAACGTTCTGAATATGAGGAAGAATGAAAGCTGTCATCGTAATACATTTGGGTATACCTAATTCCTTAGATTATCAGTATTCAAATGTTGTGAGGTCCACCATTTACATTCATTTTATTACTGTGTTAACTACGGGGTGGTGGGTTGTGGCTTGGGCTGCAGTTTGAGGAGCTGAGAGTTAATCGAATCCTAGTTCACGAATGCGACGAGCATTTCGATAAAACTCCTCGCAGTTCTCCTTTGATATTTTCCCTGAATTCACTCCCCTGATCTTCTCCTCTATCGCCCTCTTTCGTTATACTACCAGCTCATCATCTTCGCCTTTTGAGACTTATTCCATTGATTGTCAAGATATTCACTAACCTCATGTAATGAGCACAACTTTCTCTATGTCGCACTAAAGTTCTTGCTGCATAATACAAAACTTAAAAAACTTTTTGTTAAGTGTCTCAGCACACGTGTAGGCATCAGTAAGGTGATCAATGGCATCTTTTACACACTTTAACGTGGTCCATCTTCCAGATGGTTTACCAACTCAGTGTAGTTGCCGGATGTTCCTGAATCGAGGTGGCGAGTCGCAATGTACAGAAAGAGTTGTACTGTAATGTACTCAGCAGAAATTCTCAATGTGAGGAGATCGACATTTCCCTAGGGATGTCTGGCTAGAAGCGAACTAATACTATGAACCAGATATTCCTAGTAATCAAAGAATACCTATTAAATAAACGCGATACAGACACAATACCCGAAAGCTGTTCTCTGATGATACGTGGAGACGACGAAAGTCGAAGGCACAATGAGGACTGTAACAACGACGAGATAGTACCAGACCATCGTCTTGCTATCAGATGCATGCACTAGACAAGGGGAAAGTCTTCAGGATCGAGGTTTCCATAAACAAGTATTGCTAGGAAAACCGATCTGCCCAAATTGTTATCCGATGTCTATAAAGGCTTGTAATTATTACACATTCCTGATTGAAATGAAACACTGGATTCGGACCAATTTCAGTGGCTTTTCCCAAAAGATCCTAATATCCAGCCACAAAGACGAAAAGGACGAGAGAATTTTTACGCAAGCTCAAAAATGTTCTGCTTAAATTATAACTTCACCGACTTCAATGCCAAAACAGAATCACAGAGAACAATAAGAATTCCAAAGTTTCGTTTGTAATCTGAACTGGTATCAAAAAGATTATAGACTATATAACCTCAAATGTTTGATCATTATCCTAAATGAGAGAAAATTTTAGATAACACGTTATCGAACTTTGCACAACAATAGAAATGAAAACGTGTACAAGTGAAAACGAAAGCCACCCAATACATGAGTTCTGTTTTGATATTATACTAACTCCAACGAGATAATATGTGCCGAATTTAGGACGATAGACTACGAAGAAGAGCGGAAGAAATCGGCTTGTAGATGAAAACATTGACCATAAAATTGACTTCGAACTCATCTGCGAACCCCATCATTCACTAAACGGATTCAACATCTCAGTACAGTACTCCTATTTTAAGGACTAGAAGTCTCCGTTCTAAAAGTTCTGGCTAAGAATACTACGATTATCGTGAGCAGACAGATACCTCCACGATAGATGGCCCGTTGAGTGTCGGGATGGCCTGAGAAAGTTTTAGCAAAGTCATCTCGAGAATCCAAGAAGGGGGAACCATATTCGACCAGATAAGACCTGCACGAACCTATTTGAACACCGTCATCAAAGTATTCAAATAAGGCAATCTTAACCTTTTTATTTACTGCCTATTCTTTTTAACGGTAAGGTATGTTGCGAGTTATAACTTCTATAATGTTGAGAGATTTGCAAAACTTCGGACCGCAGCTGTCTGCGGTGGGGAACGAGGGCGCTATTGTCCTTTCCGGTGAGTAACGCGTTCACCACCACACCATGCGGGTCCTTCGTTTCGCCTGTCTCTCAGCTAGTTCTATCGATCACTTGCCATCAGCAATCCTGCCGTTAAAAAAATTAAGCAGTAAATAAAAAAGGTTAAGATTGTGATTATAACTATAACATCAGTTTGAGTTCAATGCCGACTTAGGCTCCCAGATCAATCCCGTTGACGGGTGATTGCTGATAGCAAGTGATCGATAAAACTAGCTGAGAGAAAGGCGAAACGAAGGACTCGCATGATGTGGTGGTGAACGCGTTACTCCCCGGAAAGGACAATAGCGCATTCGTTCCCCACCGCAGACACCTGCGGTCCGAAGTTTTGCAAATCTCTCAGCATTACAGAATTCAAATAAGGCAGTTCATGCTAACCGCTGTTACCTATGAATCCTAAAAATTCAGTATCCGTCGTCAAGGAACGTCCAATGAACACGAAGGATATGGAGCAGTGGACAGTGCTACCGTTTAATGCACAAGGCGCACTTGTACAACTCTGTCCAGACTAACCAAGCCCCCATCCCTCTAGAATCGGTAAACTGGTTTAGCATTTGTTAACGAAATTCTGTCCAATCAAGAAGACCTAAGAACGCCTTAGCATATTCCAGGCTTCCAAGTAAAATTGATTAAACTTGCATTCAACGATACATAAAAAGAAGACTAAAAGTGCTAAAGCAGTAGCCAAGACCACAAGCAAATCCGAAGAACATTGTGCATGACCGATGCAAGGAAAAGAACTAAATGGAAGAAATAGCAGGATCTGCACAATAGGCAATGCCGAGTAATATAAAATAAAAATATAAAAACAGAGTAGTCATCATAAATGAACCTTCTCCTTGGCAGGTCTATCACATCCGCTTTTTGGATCAAAACAACTCGTTCGCAATACATAATCCGTGTTCAAAGCAAGTGTATTGATCCAGTGCGCATGGCCAACAAGGTTCCGACAGATTATTCCATCCCTTGCACGCCACACTTTTACCGTACGGTCCTTAGAATGGGAAGAATTAAACGTTTGGCAAACTATACTCTCTAATCAGTTGTGGAATTCCACTTCAAAACTAATATCCCACGAAAAATTCCACTTAGAAAGCAATGGAATGTACGATCCGTGGCTAAGTGTCTGTACCTGAGAACCAGAGTAAATGAGACCTTCGCCTCCCCATCGTAAACTCGTTACACAAGCTGTGTGACCTGAATCGACAAATTACAAAACAGGAATAAAAACAAAACGGCATAATTCAATCCAAAAGACGACAACCAAAACTTCATCTCTGTTGAAGATTCTAGAACTTCTGATACTGGGATTAAACCACCCCATCCCAGAATTCCTAGGCTTAATGCCAGAATCATAATTTCGATAAGAAAGAATGATTTTAACGAAAGAAACAATACTGAGAAAGGAAACACTTCATTGGCTAGTGAAAACAAAAGTGAAGACGGAAGTAAACGGCAAACTAACCGTTTAGTGATCGTACTACAAGTCCTTGGATCGTGTCCCAAATACGAATGTTAGCGTCCTTACCAGCACTGGCGAGATACCTAAGAAGAAAAACCAGCAATCTTTCCCCAATATTTCTATCTTAGTGGAGACCATACCGGCAATTCGGATCCTTATGCATTGGTTCCCATGCTAAATGCGTGATCCACTGCTTGTGTCCTGATAATGTTTTGCCGATTTTCGAACCAGTACTGGCGTCCCAAATCATAATCTAAGTAATATTTGCGAGATGAAATGCCTAAATTACCGCTAGTTTCTAAATACTTCCTGATCACATGATAACTAGAAACTAAGACCTAGCTAAGATAAAGAACAGACCTGGCCATTTTTACAAGAGGAAGCGATTTTCCTAGCATCAAAAGACCATGCGATACATAAAACCCAATTCATGTGTCCTTCACACGTATACTGAGGCAATTCGGTATCTATATCCCATATACGGACAGTCATATCGCCAGAGCCACTGGCAAGACTTCTGCAAGCACAATCCTTTCTTTCCTCACAGATGAGTAAGTTCAGAAACATCATAACTTCAAAACGCTCTTCTTACTTTTGCAACATTAGGACAGTAAAATGGAAAGTGATAAGCTTTAACATAAAATGTATTGGATCGAACTCTTATTCAGGATAATCAAGAAATCCTACAAGATTCTCACTTTCCATCCGGACTAAACTGAGCTGAAATCACAGGTTCGCCATGACCTGGCATACTTGAAGAGCATCTCGTGACCGGCTGAACTCGAAACACAGCTTGTGGCTGGTAAATAAGGCACAATGTCTAAAAGTTGGGGAAATAAACGCAGAACAAAATGGAACTAAGGCATTTACAGGGAAGAACGGACAATAAACAGAATATTACACTCATAAAGGAACACCAATTTGCAAACGAGGTGCTCACACCTTCTCAAGGTCGATCTTGTCAATGCTCTTCTCAATGCTCTCAACAATTTCAACTCCATGTTCAGTGAAGAAAGAGATGGGCACTGGATCGTCGCTAGAATAAACAACGTCACTTATTACCTAATACTTACTTACATGCTTACTTGGATACTTGGATGGCCCGTCCTCACTGATTTTGCGGGCCCCAGCACAACTTCCATTTTTTCAAAGTTCTGCTCGTTTAGGCACTGTGGCTTCCCGGAGTCCCGTGGTCAGCCTGGCCAAGGTCTGTCCTGGATCGTCCTTACCACAGGCAGCTGCAGTCCTTGTGGATCAGAAGTAGATTCGCCACCATTTGACTAGTCTGATACCAAGATGGTGGTGGATCCTAGTATTGGTTTACTGATGGAAACAGCGAATTACCACTCTGCTTGGGATGCCCTGCTGGAGGAGTGAATCCCTCCTTGTACATCGCAAGCCGACAGCCACGAACACCTCATACCCACAATGAGGCGACAAACCGTTTAAGGCTTATTACATAATAACTCAAATAAAGCAAGAAAATTCCACTGTAGAGCAGACACCCTAATTTCATACCTGCTTCCTAACAACTGATTACACAAGAGCTGTAACTGATTGCACGTCACGGACGTCGGCAAGACGATTCCAGCTCCACCGAGTTCGTCTCCATTCTCACTTACGAATCTGATGGAAATCTGCCTAACAGCATCCCCATTCATCTAAACTGTAGAAATACGGCAGATACATACGGAAAAAGCTATAACAGAGATTTAGGGCCATCCCTTAAAGTCCTTCGTAAACTGCATCCAGCTACTCGCAGACATTAACTCATGACAACTGTGAAAAGCTTATAAACAGGAGGTCAAGGCTGATATAGTTATGGTCTCCTACACTCAAATGCAGCATTTAAAGGACACAATGAACCAATCAGCATAAACGCCCCGTTGCTAACTACTCGAATGGTACTTTTTGCTTTATCATTACTGGTTTTTACTACTTATCATTAGCTTCATTATTTACCAGTAAGCCAGAGTTATCCCTGAATTTCTTCGCCACACATATGCAGGTATTTGCAAAATAGAGCAGAAAAGCGCAGAAAACAAAAGTAGCAACGAGTTTTTGGTCGATTGTGATTTGTCCGATCGATATCCTCTCTTTCTCGATAACAAGATAACACCATGCTATACAGTGCTATGAGTCATATTGTATTCACGTAACGGTTGAAATCGCTGTGCAGTGGTTTTCGAAAGACAATTTTCTTCTGAGACGGTCTGTTTAAATCTGTGTCATCAGACGCGAACTGATGTCGGATTCTAGTTCGTCCAGATGGAATTACACATTAGTAAGACCGAGCTTCACCTCTTCTATCTAATCAGATCACGGAAATACTTTTGTGCTTATTATGACACCCATTTTCGAAAACTGAGTCGTCAGATGTTGAACTGTGCATTCCAGTTTGTGTTCTTGGTCATGTCGTCAGTATTGATTATTTGAATGGTTTCTGGATTAGCAGAATGTTTGCGCCTGTTAACAGTTACTTTTAAGGTATAAAAATGGCTACTCATAAAATGAACATGTTTGAGAAGATCGCGAACATGTTGGGCTATTTGTATCGTCATCAGGCTGCACAGTTTCCACGCCGTTGGGAAATTCTTAAGGTAATCCCTCAGTGTTTCGGCTTTCTCTTGGATCTTTTAATCCCATTACGAGACATAGTGTAGGCTGTCGGAAAGCACGAACTTGCTCCTCCCAAGACTACTGACTGGCCCGCAATCAAGGCTGATTGGAAGAAAGTGTCGGATTTCATCCAGACAAAACAGTACCAACAACTTACAGTCAGGGTGAGGCGTTCTGTTTTATATTGTTGGATATTTGGCACGAATCTAGTTGTTTTTAATAAAAGAATGACTAGTGAATTTTGCAAGGCCGCTTTGTATGAAGTAGCTTTTGACTCATGAAGCGCAGTGGTCGGAGTTGCCCTGCATTACACACGGGATCGCTCCAAGCGCCCAAGATCCACCAAGCCTTTCATCCTTCCAGGGTAGGCAAATTGGTACCAAACTTGTCTGAGAGGATAGCATCACTGACTGGATACATCGGTAAGTCATTGCAAGTCGTTATGAAGCCCAGATATGCATTAAGTCACCTCCAACGATACTTTATGAAGCCGAATTCATGGCTCATTCTTCAGAGATTAGCCAAGGCCAAGAGCTTCATCCTTTTTTTTCTCTATGTTCTGATTCTCTACCCATGTTTTCCTTTTAATACCATTATTTTCTTTAGTCGTGTAGCATGTTTGCTGCATAATACGTTTGATTCATCTAGGAGTTCCTCGTCTACACAGCAGTCACGTTAGAAGTAGTGTTTTGGTTCTTTGTCGGAGAAATGATAGGTCGTCGATACATCGTTGGTTATTTGGTGAGTTTGTTTCACCTTAGCAGAAGGTCAACGATGGCTTCTCCACAGTTATGTTAACGCTGCCTCTTGTGTGATTTCAGGTTCCGGCAGATTATGTATCAAAAGAAACACGTAAGAAAGCCAGAGCTCTTCAGGCAGAAGCAACGAAGCAGAGCCTTCATTGATTCTTGTGATAGCATAGTGTTTGACATTTCTATAGGTGCGCTCAGATCGAATAAACATTCTTTGAACTTGTTTATCAGGAACTGCCTACTTCCTTTCTCCGTGTTCTCGTTACATTACTCTAAAACCCATATTTCATAGAGACATTTAAGTCGGTTGCTGCTTGATCACATGTATAAGGTTCGTTTGAAGTGGTTCGTGAAAACCCCACCGTCATCGCAATCGTCTGGTCCCGATGATTAGTCTTGTAATCTGTCTATCGTATTTGGGCTTCCATTATGGTAACTAGGTCTTCTCTGATTCATTCGTTCCAATGTTTTTACCTATATAAGGCGTCCTAATGGTAATGGACTAGTATTTGTTTTCTTCAATAAGCAGACGAGGTTGGTATTGAAATTGAAGTATTGGCTTATTGAAGAAAGCATCGGATTATCAATGCCAATTATCAATTATCAATGCCGAGGTTAGTAGAATGTCGGTCTTAGGAAAGGCTAGTGTTTAAATGCGTATATTTGTAGGCTGCAGAATAGCACACTCGAATGTTGACGCTGTTACTGTTTCTTGGCATACAAAGGTATACAAGAAGTAATTGAATCCTACAGAAGTTGCATATAGAGCCGTTCCCTCGATGTCTGTGGGTGTGGGGTAAGCGATGTTTGATTACGTTTATTACCACAACGTTGCTGAGATATTTGCAAAACTCTGGACCGCAGGTGTCTATGGTGGGGAACGAACGCGCTATTATCCTTTCCGGGGAGTAACGTGTTCACCACCACACCATGCGGGTCCTTTGTTTCGCACGTCTCTCAGCTATTTCTATCGATCTTTTTGCCACAGCAATCACCCGTCAGCGGGGTTGATCTGGGGAGCTCAAATCG